AAACAACTCAAAATATAACCATGAAAATCTAGGTCCAAAAGTCTGTCATATGTATATATATTTCTACCCTTATCTTTACAATCGTCCTTGGAAGTAAAAGTTCTTTTAAGAACAGATTTTATCATGAAGAACTATAATTACTGAAATACATTGTCAAATATTATAAATTTTATATTGAATAGCTTTTGTACTTTCCGTGGGTAGTACTCCATAGGTAATAGCAATATATATTAATAATTTCAGTTCCCTCATAGATGATGGTAGGCTTAATCCTTCTCCCTCTACTGGGAGCCTACATGTGCCACTTATAATTTCCCCTGGACTTTGCAGGAAAGTGACATAGGAAAAAGAAATAAAGATTAGGATTTTTCTTTCCTTAAATATTCCCAATTGAATGACCCCCAAGTTTTCCACAGCAAATAGATGTGGAATAATCTTTTGGTGAATTTGAATCTATTCTAATTCGCATCATACAACTGAAGCATACGAGTACTTTATTCTTACAGCTAGACTTAGTAACTCACAAGAAACTGTGTTAGTATATTCTAGATTAGTATTTCTCAAAATGTAATCCAAGGACCATCTGGATTATAGTTACCATTGGTGTTTTGTATGATATCAGGCCAGACCTGTGGACTCAGATTCTTGTAGATCAATGAGAAGGAAAGAGGGATCTGTGTTTTTCTAAGTTCCCTATGTTATGAATATTCAAGTCGGGGAACCACAGTTTCATATTATGATGCCTAACACGTAGCAGATGTACCTCCATTTCCTTATTGCACATTAATTGCAGACACTACTAATTGACCACAGCATTCTTTCCTGCAGAGCTAATGTAACGCCATACAGTCGTACTCAACATTGTGACTAGGCAGCTTGTTGGCTTGCAAGATAAAATATCCTTTCCTGGAACAATTCTGTACAGACATTGCTATTAGACAATATTAACTTTAAGATATAGCTAAGAATATAGAGGCTAACATTGATATTCTTTAAGTTGTGAATAGAGGTCAGAACATTGTTGCACAAAGATTGGATATAAGGTTTAGAGCAGAGTAGAAAGCAAGTAAAGAAAAAAAAACATGAGGGTATCAGTTCTGGAAATTACATTCATAATAACAAAAAGTAATCAGTGACAGAAGAAAACAGAAAAAAGAAGATATAGTACTTTAAAGGGCCCAGCAGAATAAAGTCATTAAATAGCTCTTTATGATCACACTTAGTAGCTTCTGAAGGCTTAAATGTGCATAGCATAAATTCTGTTCATAACTATGACTCAAAATATCCAGAAAAGGATAAGTCTTGTAAGGGGCCTGTGCAAATAAGAGGCCCCAAAGATTGACTTTTTCATACATTATGTTCAAGGCATTATTATTTTAGAAAGTTTCCCAGCCAAGGAAGCTACAGTAAGAGAAGTGCTTGAAATTTAAGTTCTTAGCTAACTGACAATATTAACTGTAATAATTTTCAATCTGAGGATTTCAGATACTCATCTTTGCTATTCACATTTACTTTGTTTTATTCTCTTATTGCGATAGTATTTATTGAAGACCTTACTAATAATCACATGTGCACATTATCTTGTCATCATACTCTACTTATAAAATCAAACTTTTATAATGTAACTTTTTTATTTACTGAATTTAGAATTATATGAGGAAATTTTCTGTCAAATAATTCTTAGTTAATGTCATTTTTCCATTTGTATCCAATGCCTTTGATAATTCATGTTAAGAGTGATACTTTCTGAAAAAGTATATCAAGAATATAAAAATAAATGTTTATCTTTTTTGACAACTGCACAGGTCTAGGGTCTATGAAATATTCAGATCCGTAGTCTGTGTGGTAGAAAAATGATGACTTATGGGTATTCTAAAGCAAATAAATCCTTTTATAAAAATAATTTTGGCCAGTCTTTTTAAAAACAGGTTTGCCATGTTATTAATAGTTAACACTTAAAATCTAGTTAATATTTTATATATTTTAAAAAGTGTAATCATTGTGGAAATCTGATGATTTTTCTCCTTTTAAAAATCACCTTACTTCTATATAAAATGTTAACAAAATTAATTTTTTTATGGGCAAATGTTGACACGATAGCCTAGTGAAGGAGCTTCAGAGACATTCTTTAGGGAAATTGCCTGTGACAAAATATAAAATCAATTTTATGGCCAAATTAAAACAATTTTTTACCACATTAATTCCAAATTTGCTCTTTTCCTTACGGAAATACTTGGAATGAGCAGTGAACTTGGAAACAGGAGATATGACTTCCAGTCTTGGCTTATATTTGATTAATTGTGATTATAAAGAAAAATCATGTGCTCAACTAAGTCAGACCTAGTTGTTCATGTTAGGATCCTATGAACATTTGGAAACCAAGTACTTACCAGTTAAATGTATACATGTTTATGGGAAGACAAAACTTGAAATGGATTGGTTAAAACAAAGGCACTGGCTTTTAAAGATGGCTATACCTCTTTTTTTCTTTTTTCAGTATGAACATTTATTTCATTGACAATAATATTCTCCCCATTCTTCTTTTTGTAAATCGTTGCATCAAGGAACACAATAGTGTTTTCACTTGAAAGCAATCTAAGCTAGGAAAGTACCCTGTGTCTTTAGACTAATTGTGATTTATTAAAAGAAACATTTTAACTATTCTTATTTAACTAACTCTAGAATATTTGACTCTCCCTAAACTTTACTGTAAAAATAGCATTTTTTGTTTTGGGAATGCTACTTTTTTTTTCCTTTCTAGACGGAGTCTCGCTCTATCACCCCAGGTGTAGTGCAGCGGCATCATCATAGCTCACTGCAACCTCCAACACCTGGGCTCAAGCAACCCTCCTTCCTCAACCTCCTGAGTAGCTGAGACTACAGATTCACGTCAGGACACCAGGATAATTTTTCTATTTTTAGTAGAGTTGGGATCTCTCTCATTCGGGATGGTCTCGAACTACTGAGCTCAAGCAGTCCTCCCACCTCGGCCTCCCAGAGTGCTAGGATTAAAGGCATGAGCTACCCTGCCTGACTGGGAATGCTACTTTAAAAGCAATTAATCCTTTACTGAATAACTTTATAATTCTAGCTAAATATAACTAGAATACAATAGTTTATTGGGATCATTTTGCTAATTTTGTTAAACGACTTCTTTACCGAAAATCTGACAGTTTTTTTGCCTCTATTTAAAGTTCGACATCAAGACTTCAGAGTTCTAAGAAGTCTGACAAATGCTTAAAAGATGAATTGGTGGGGCATGATAACCTAACTGTATTAAATAATAGGCCTCTTTTCACAATTTGCAATGGCAAGCACTTGAGTTTTATTTAACTACCTAATATTTTCTATTTAAATATGTCTACGTAGTTATAGGTAAGCCTATATCCATAGTATTAATGTGGATTTTTGTCTAAGAGTAACTTGTAACTCTAACCTTATATAGTGTTTGTCTTTATTTACAGTGATTCTGACTTACTACTGTATTCTCATGCACATAGTGATTTAGATAAACTTTTATTGAAGCATGTTCTTATTTAATTATTGCTACTATTTTGTAAAAGAATGTTCTCAGTTTTTCCTACCCTCATTTCATTTCTTAATAGTCCATAGTAATATATTTTTACATTCCAGTAACTGAAAAGATATATAGTAATTTAAGTTTTATTCAGCTAGATTATAAGGGAGGTAGAAGAGGATTTGTGAATTAATTTGATTTTATCTGTTTTCAATATCCTATCTACTGTATTTGTATTATATGCTTATTTTAGTTAATTTGTCAATATAGTTAATTTTGTCTTTCATCAGGACTGTCAATCTTTTTTAGTCCAAATAAACTTAAGTAAGTAATATTATGGTAAGGGTCTTTGAACTGTCACACATTACATTAGTGGAAATGAATTAATTAATACAAAGGATAGAGTCGTAGAAGAATAAATAATGTAGGAGAGAACATGGCTTGCAGTGGTGGGTTAAGAAGAATTTCTAAAGTCTCTGTCATTCACTAACACATGGCAAGGAAATCTGTTTGAAATCAGCTGTTTTCAGCTGATTCTTCAAAGTTTTCTTGGATGATATTTATCATTCTCAAAGTTCTGATATCAATGTATCAGATATTAATGATAGATGAAAAAGAGAATCTCAATCAGTGGATATGTCTGTCAAAAGAGCTAGTTCCAATTTTTGAGAGTATTAATTTTCAAAGAGGTAATATTTTTCCCGTAGAATTCTGCATGCTTAATGTACTTTATGAACTTGCATGTACTTGGTTGGAATTCTGTTGTCTTAAGTTGAATATCCCTCTGTTCACCCTCATATTGCATTGAAAACAATATTCAGATATCAGAAGTAAAAACAATTGGTTTGAAATAGGTGACTACTTTGATAAATATAATTTTCAGGTCTTTGTCAGAGAATTGATGAGTTATTTTACTATTAAAAATTATATTGATCCCATATATAATGCATATGAGTGGAAACATTAACAGATGAAATTTCCAAATTTTTAGGGAAGGAGGAAGAATATTTTAAAGGTAATTTAGGAAAAGTGTAAATGAATTTTATTTAAATTATTTGCATACTTGTCATTTTTAAAATATAGCTAATTGAGGTAACATCAGGATAAAAATATCATTACCATGTGTCATTATATTTTTTCTTCTAAATCACATGATTATATAGAAGTTTATCTCAATGTAAGAGATTCTTCTTGAGTTATTTGAATAACTTTTTATCTTTACAACACAAAGACTATTCATGATATCCTATTTTGTTAAATAATTCTAGTTCCCCAAAAGTATATAAGTTCCAAAAGTGAATTTAAACTTCCAAGAGGATTCATTGCCTGACAATTCTGATTTACATATTTTTGTTCTTTATTGCTTATTAAACTCCACTTGTGTCGACTGTTCAGGATTTGGAGAAGAGTTAGCTTCCTGACTATTGAAAGACAAGAGCTAGTGGTCTGCACTTCCTTTTTCCCTTAACGATTCAATTCTCAGATATTGACCAGTGGAATAAGGTAATTGAACAACTAGGAACACCATGTCCAGAATTCATGAAGAAATTGCAACCCACAGTAAGAAACTATGTGGAGAATCGGCCCAAGTATGCAGGACTCACCTTCCCCAAGCTCTTTCCGGATTCCCTCTTCCCTGCGGACTCTGAGCACAATAAACTCAAAGGTATGCTCTTCAGGGATGACTTGGAACCGCTGTGCTAAACAGGTGATGGGCTAAACAAGCACACAGTATTGATCTCTCTCTCTTATTTTTTCTTTTATTTTCAGTTGACATGTAATAATTGTACGTATTTATGGGATGTAAAATGATATTTTAATGCCTGTACACGATGTGTAATGGTCAAATCAAGGTAATTAGCATACCCATCACCTCAATCATTTATCATTTCTTTAACTTGAACTACTTCAAATTAAGAAGAAGTATTTATTAAAAGATTTTTCTTACAAACGGGAGTAATCAAAGATTTTAGAATTGTCTGGATATTCAGAGGGAAGGGTAAGTGCGTGACAGTAGGGTGGGTTAACCTATCTCATGGAGGTCTATTTGGAGTCTTAAAATTATTTTTAGAAGTGTACTTCTAAAAGATCAAAATAATATACATTGAAATCATTGTTCCAATCCTTTTTATTACTTAGAAAATATTTTTGACACAAGTTTTTAGTTGTAAAATCTTGGAGATGCAGATGTCTGAGTTTCTTTTATTTGCTTTTATAAAGTACTTAACCACTAACTTTTCATTTTAGAGTAGTAAATGAGACTACATATTTTTTACTCAATACAAACACTTCCATTAATAAGTAATTGAATATTTTCACTGTTTTACTTTCAAATAAGTTGAGTAACAATATTGATGTAGGATATTTCTTATTTCTCTTAAAACCTGATTTTAGGCCGGGTGCGGTGACTCATGCCTGTAATCCTAGCTCTCTGGGAGGCTGAGGTGGGCGGATTGTTTGAGTTCAGGAGTTCGAAACCAGCCTGAGCAAGAGCGAGACCCCGTCTCTACTAAAAATAGAAAGAAATTAATCGGACAACTAAAAATATATAGGAAAAATTAGCTGGGCATGGTGGCGCATGCCTGTAGTCCCCTGGAGGCTGAGGCAGAAGGATTTCTTGAGCCCAGGAGTTTGAAATTGCTGTGAGCTAGGATGACGCCACGGCACTTTAGCCCGGGCAGCACAGTGAGACTCTGTCTCAAAAAAAAAAAAACACCTGATTTTATATAAAATTTTATATATTTTTAGAGATTAAAATTAATGTATCTTTTAATAGTGTTATTAAATAAACATACTTACTGATTATTATCGTATAATTTTATAACTGTTGCTGCCCAAACCATAAAATAAATCATGATAACATGTATATAATATAGAGGTTGTCACTAGTGTCTGGTATAGCATTGGACTGGCTTCAGTCTCTAACTACTTGATTTCATCAAATCATGATTCCATTGATTAAAAATGACTGATGATTAGAGAATGTTCAAATAAAATTCAGTAGTTGAATATTCTATCACATCAGTTCCTCAGGTTGTTTTTTGGTACATAAGAAATTTGTACTATGTGATCTCTTAAGTTAATCCGAATACTCAAATTCTAATAATTTCATTGCGTGAATGAGAATATAAAAACATACACACTGATTAACTTCAAACAGCCATCCACGCATTTGTTGAACATCATTCATTTGCATTTCCCATGCTCTTCATCCTGTTTTCACACAGATTTCCCAAGCACATTATTTTGCCTATACAAATTTTCTGGGTTGATGAATTTTACTGAGAAATCTAAGTAAATGATTATACTCATATACTCATAGCATTATGGCCCATAAAGAACCCCAAATGAAGCCTTAGACTTAGAGACACATGTAAAATGCATTTCCTTTTTCAGCACATCAAGAAATTTACCTAATATTTGGAAGGAAGATATGACTTGATTCTTTGTCTTCTTAGTTCTCTCTACATTCAACAAATTTCCTTACTGAAATAAAAATCTCACTACTTGTTTTTCTCATTCATTGTTTCAGCTAGCCAAGCCAGGGACTTGTTGTCAAAGATGCTAGTGATTGACCCAGCAAAAAGGATATCAGTGGACGACGCCTTACAGCATCCCTACATCAACGTCTGGTATGACCCTGCGGAAGTGGAGGCGGTAAGGCATATGCTTCTTATACTTTCCTGCCACAAACAAATCATAGCTCATGGTGAAACCTAAATAGGACTAGAAGCCAAAAGAACACACTAGGAACTTTCATAAAACTCATAAGTCAAAAGCCTATTACTTGCCCCTCTAAAAGTTATTTTCTTCAACCTGTGTTTTAAATGCATTTCTTTTTCAGGACTTCCTATGAGAGGGGGTGATTTAGTCCAACAAGCCTTAGATTTCCATGACACACTACCATTTGCTTTCAGTAAATTTCCAACACTTACGTTTCCTCCTGTGTTTAACCATCAGCCTCTCCTAAGGCAAGCTTAGTGGTAGAAAACATAATAGAGGACAAGTTGCTTTGCTTCTGTTTCCTTGATATATTCTTGATTCCTTGATACCTGCCATTAGTAAAATGTGGTACTTAAGAACATTTCAATTAGAAAGCTTTTATCAGACCATTGATGCCTTGTGAAGCCTTGCATGAACTAGATGAGAAAAAGTGGATTATTTCGATAAGGACATTAATTCAGGTTGATTCTAAATTGAATATCACAGTATGATGTATCTCCATTTCTTAAATCTAGGCACAGTTTAAGAAACTTCTCAGAAGCATAACTTTTAATTTTAAAAATGTTTTCCAACCATTTGATAGCTTCTATCAATCTCTTTCTTATGTCTTTACCTCTACTTTCCTCTGCATGGAGCCCGGGCAAAGGGGCACAGCTGCTGCCATGTGTGTTCTCTAGGCTTCCTGATGAGAGTTTCCTTTCTGTGCTGCCTTTACATGCTCCTATCAGCAATGTGACCTTCTCCCATAAGCACCAGCATCTTCTCAAACTCTTAGAATACCTATGCTAAACTATCTCATTTTCTTTTACGTAGTACCTTCAAATGTATTTGTTTGAATTTGTTCTTAATCTTCTGTTTGAAATTCTGTTTGTTTTTCTGTATCCCAGGGTATTCTTGCTGGAGAGCAGTTTTGCTTTCTTTCAGTTTCTTTTCCTCTGCTTCATCACTTGCTTGTCCATGTCAGAGGTGCTAGATTCAAACATACATAATTCTTCGCTAGAGAAGTATGGTATGAAAGATGGCAGTGAGAACTAGGTACAATTGAACTATAGACACAATATTCAACAAGCTGCTTTTCATAATGTAACCCAATCCTTAAGCATTCAAAGACTTCAGAGAAAACACTTAAACAATAAATGAGTCTCCGAAGTGTGCAAACTGAGGTGTAATCATCCGAGATGACATTTTCTTAAGATTTGCTCTCTTAATCAGTTCTACAATGATGTTCAAGTTTCAATTTGCTTCACATTAATTCTTAGTCACTTTGATTTGATTCTTACAAACTAAAATCCCCATAATTAAATATTTCTGAGTTTAATGATAATGTTCTTAAAACTAATCTTTTCTTACAACTGAAATATAGAATCTCTTTCAGTCTCTCACACTTGGGACATACGTTCAAAGATTTCTTGGAGTAGAATGAAGTAATGAAATAAGTAAGAGAAAGTATGATGTATATGTATGTGAAAATTAAGTATAAGAATTTTATCTCTGATGAAATTCAAAAAAATGTTTTAGGTTCTGTTGATAAAAATTTTAGATAAATATAAATTATTTGAAATTGTTGCTCCTCACTTATTTTCATAGTTCAAATTCATGTGGCATATTTATTTTTTCTTACAACTAATTTAATGCATGTAATCTGTTTTTAATGGATTGTGGCCTAGAGTTTAATTAGAGTCATAAAGTCTGCATTTGAAATGCACTCACAATTATGCTGCCTATAAAAGAGATAGTTGCTTAGAATCTATAACAACATATTACAAAAGAGTATCTATGAGTTTTTAAGTTTACTTTAAATTTTTATGAAAATTTTTTTGTATAATAAAAAGATAAAATTTAGGATACTAAAATATCTAGAGCCTTTTTCCTTTTTTCTCAACCATTTCAATATTGTCATGCAATAGATAGCAACAAGACAGGACACATGAATTTTTAGGGAAGGATCTGATAGAGCCTGAAGGTCTAGGAGAAGAGATCAGTTAATACACAGGAGCACAAACAAGTATTTGACATCTAGACTGGGATGATTGATTATACAATGGTAAACATATCTTACATCTAGACATGTTGCAGCGAATACATTGGAATCCCGATTCTAGGGCCAGAATAGTTTATTAATCTATGAAGTATTAATATATTACAGAGGCCACAACTAGGAAGAGACAGATGCTGAAGGTTCTAGAAGCAGCAGTCAGCTAGGCTTTCTGCAGTATCCTTAGAATTAGTGCCTTTGTTAATGCATATGGACACGCATTTAAAATAAAATGATCTTTCTTTATGGACACATGGTGCAAAGCTTGAATGAAAGTGATATGTCTTTTGCCAGGGCTGACAAAAATTGTTTTGCAAAATAAACTCTGGTGTTTATAATCCAAATAAATGGAAGTATCAAATAATCAGAATTTTCACAATTACAAGTCATCGAGGAAATCCAAGCTCAAATGGCTTTCGAGTAACTCACATGATGTTAGGGAAGGAAGGAAATTCAAGGATTAAAGGGAAGAAAAATAAATTTCAGTGGAAGGAAATAAGAGGCAAGTGGACAGGGGATAAAGGAGAAACTGTGTGAGAATGTGATGTTTATAGGAACAGTAGAAAAGAGTAGAGAAATATTATGTGTACTAAGCTGTTAATCATGCTACAAGCTATCTTATCACATTTCCAAAACTACCAAAGTACCAAAATCAAAAGAGAAAAAGCACATGAATGTTGTCATAACTCTAAGAAGGGAAATTAAAATTAATCATGTACACATGGACTTGAAAATTTTAAAAATTGGATGTCAACTTAAGAGTCATCTATTTGTATAATAGTACATAAAGATTTTGAAGTGACAACTGCTCAAATTATTAGCAAGTTTTTATTCAAATAATGTTCAGAGTAACAAAATATGGGTCCAAAATAGAGCATACAAATCACATTTAATATCAACGCTTTTTCACGAAATAATTAGAAGGTGCTCTAACTTTGGTTCAGTGTTCATCAACAGGGCAAATACGTTACACACAAATTCAATATACTGAGTTGTTTGTATCTTCCTAGGCATGAAAGATGGTTTAGGTGTAAATTTCTGCTGTGCTCATTACTAGCTCGTCTTGGTCAAATTTCTTAACCTTTCTGTAAGTCAGTTTTCTTAACCAATAAAGTACTCCTTTTTTATCATATTTACTGCATAGCATTCAGAGAATTTAAAGAGTTAATGTACATAAAGTGCTTAGTACAGTGCATGATGGTCAGGATCATATAAATTATTATTATCATTATTATTATTACTACTATGACTTTTACATGCTTAGCTCTACTACCTTTTAATATTTAGAAAAGATACATGAATCTGGTGAAAAAGACTAGCTGGCCAAGAAACTGCAGAAATACAGAAATATTGTGTAACATTTTTCTTTGAATAATCACTGGAAATGATCTAGTTCCCACACATGATTTTAGGTCCTTTTGTTTTGTTTTGTTTTCTGCTGATGTATACCCACCTCTACTTTGCCCGTGGAAGAGAATCCAGTGCCATCTGCTTGAATCCATAATAAATTCATAAAACAGCATGGTAAAGAATAGGCTTATAAATATATTCAATTATAAAGGTATTCAATATATTCTGCTAGGCTCAAGGTATATAAATTTAGGAAAGATAAGAAAAAATATGAGCTGCAATGAATATGACCTTGATGCATTTAATATTCAAACAGTTCATCAGTAGTTGTCTACTTTTTGGAGATAAACAACTGAATAAACTGTACATATACTGGCTTCAAATATTTTATAATCTTTTTATTAAATTTAGCACTGTGAGTTAAACATGAAATATCTGGAAGAGATGATTTAAGTGAGTTATAAATGAAAACAACTCTCTGTACAGACTATATCTCTCCCACTGGGAGGAAAGAGGATTGAAGTCTTTGTCATTGACATTTTCCTTTGATGAGTAATATCAAAATGTTAGGGCATGTCCTCAAGTCAGTTTCTGAATAATAAATCCATTTTAAGTTCTGAAACCACTGTTTTTGTTTCCTGATTTTCCCCACATGATATGGATATATGCTTAAAATAGTCATTATTTTTGTTTGCCTGAGAAGAAAGTCAGTTTGCA